CATGTGGAACCACTTTCACTTTATCGATTGAGCTCATATTGGTTCCTGGGGCATTGAAAATCTCCATATCTGTCGCCCTTGACTATAGGAGTAGGTGAGGGACTACATTTGTGCATACTGAATTTCTTTAAGATCTTTTCCATGTATGCCTTTTGTGACAGTCCTTATACCCTTTTTCTTCTATCTCAGTGAATCTCGATCCCTAGAATGAACGAGGCTTCCCCAAGATCTTTCATATCAAATTTCTTTGTCTCCAGTGGTAGACTGACATCACTACTAGCAAGTAAGATATCATCTACATATAGGACAAGGAAGATAAACTTCTCATTCTTAAACTTTGTATTGACACAATTGTCCTCTACATTCTCTTTACTTTGTATAGATACAATTGTCCTCTACATTCTCTTTAAAATCCAAAATTTTTTATTGTCTGATCGAACTTCAAGTACCACTGTCTTGAAGCTTGTTTTAATCCATAAATGAATTTCTTTAGGCGGCATCACATTCGTTCTTTTCCTTCCATGACAAAACCTTTCGGTTGTGCCATGTAAACATTTTCCTCCAAGTCTCCGTTGAGAAATGCCATCTTTACATCCATTTGATGTAATTCTCAATCGTAATGTGCCACTAATGCCATTATGATTCTGAAGGAAACTTTACATGAGACTGGAGAAAATATCTCATTATAATCAATCCCTTCTCTTTGCATATAGCCTTTTGCCACAAGTCGCGCTTTATATTTCTCTATATTCCCTTGAGAGCCAAGTTTTGTTCTGTAGACCCATTTACAGCCTACTGTTTTGACACCTTTAGGAATTATTTCCAAGTCCCAAACTTTATTGGCATTCATTGATTTCATTTCATCTTCCATGGCCTCAAGCCACTTTGATGAATGATCACTTCTCATGGCTTCTTCAAATAAGGTGGGATCACCCTCCATTTGAAATTTCTCAGTGTTGTACACTTCATAGTCAACAGGAATAGCTGATTTTCTAACTCTTTGAGACCTTCTAGGGGCCTCCACTTTTGGCACATCTTCTGTTTGAGGCTGTTGTTGCTCCCCCTCATGTGTGGCAATAGGTTCTATAGAATCCTGAAGAATAGGTTCCTCATTTTCATTCATTGTTGCCACAGGTGAAATAACAACAGGTGTTGACACCATAGTATCTTACACTGTCGGTGCAGCGACAGCATGTAGTGAGAAAATTGGCTCATGAATCATTAAAGTGGGCGCATACACCCGCTTCACTTCAAGGTCAATTTCTCGAGCTACCATGCTCCCCCTCATCTTTTCGTCCTCTAGGAAAACAGCGTATCTCGTTTCCACAAACTTTGTGTGTCTCTCTGGACAGTAGAAACGAAAACCTTTTGACTTTTCTATGTAGCCAAATAAATGGCAACTTACTGTTTTGGGATATAACTTCCCAATGTTTGGGTTAAATACTTTAGCCTCAGCAGGGCTCCCCCACACACAAGTAAGTGATTTAGTGAGGGTACTCTTTCTATCCACAACTCATACGGTGTTTTGGGCACCGACTTTCTTGATACTCTATTGAGAATATGAATGTCGGTTTTAACGCCTCCATCCACAGGCTCAACTATAAGGTGGAGTAACTTATCATACTGCCCACCATATCCATCAGGGTGCTATTGATTCTTTTAGCTACTTTATTCTACTGTGGTTCGCCCGGTGTAGAATACTGGGCTACTATGCCATTCTTTTAGGGTATGCCGACCGTAGTACTCCCCCACGGTCAGACCTGACTATCTTAATCTTTAATATCTTAAATTTATCCAATACATCTTTTCTTTTCTTTGATTGGATAAATATAGTCATAATAGAAGTAATCATCTGTGAATGTTATGAACGGATCATAACCATCCACACTCTTTACAGAAAACTGACCACAGATGTCTGTGTGAATAATCTGTAAAATTCCCGTGCTTCGTTTGTCATCTTTCTTTACATACTTTTCTTTTATGCATTCTCTCTGCATTGTTCTTAATCTGAGAGCTCTAATGGAGGAAGAATATCATTCTTAACTAGTCTTTCTATTCTCCCCCTCGAAATATGGCCTGAACGATAGTGCCATAATTTCGACGACGTATTGTGAGCTCTCTTATGCCACCATTATCAGAGTGACTATCTGTCACCAGCTGCTTTATCAGCTAGATAGCACATGTCTTTGAAGAGCCAGTGAACTGACTCTTTATTCTATCGAGATACTCGGTGACCATGTCACACTCTAGGATTGAGCCCACAATTGCAGGCTCAATCGTGTTCTTTATCACAGCCAAACATTTCTTGTTTGCAGTGACCCACTTCCTATGCTCAAAAGCCATAGGATATCTTTTGGGATTCAAAATCCCTTTCTTTAGTTGCCCAAGTGGCATCATTCTCTTTTGTCTCCGTCACCGGTGCCATAATCTCAGTGGAACACGGTGAGGTGACTACCCAGTCCACCTTAGACAAGATGAAAACCAGGTCAAAACTTTTCTTAACATAAAAATAACACCATTTGCATGCCTTGATTCCAACGTTGGTCAAAATCAAAACATACAATTATTCTTATACACTAATTCTACATCACCGTTGGCCATAAATAGAATTAATGCATAAATCTTTAACTTTGACAACTGTTCTTACACACTAATTCTACCTCACCGTTGGGCAGAAGTAGAATTAATGCATAAATCATTAGCTTTTATAACTGTTCTCATGCACTAATTCTACATCACCGTTGGGCAGAAATGGAATTAATGCATAAATCATTGAAATTATCAACTTTTCTTATACACTAATTCTACATCACCATTGGGCAGAAGTAGAATTAATGCATAAATCATTAAAATTATGATATTGTTATCAACAACGTTGGTCAGAAAATAACAACATCATAATCATGGCAAATCTCTTTTTCTCCAATTAAATACCACATTGGTTCAAAATAACTAGAGAATCAACATTTTCTTTAGCAGCGGAAAAAATCTTTTTTTTCCTCCAATTAAATACCACATTGGTTCAAAATAATTGGAGAATCAACAACTTTACTTTGGCTGTGGAAAAATTCTCTTTTCCTTGAATTTTACCCACAGGGAAAATTATATTTTCGATTTCCTTTAATCCATTAATCAATTTCCAGGAAATAAACATTTACTGGAAAAACTTTCCTTTTCTATAATTAAATATGACGTCTGTTCAAAATCACTGGAGAATTACTTACTTAATGTCTTGAATTTTACCCACAGGGAAAAATTACTTTTTTCTATTTTTTTTTTGAGCCAATTTGCATTTTTAATTTTCCAGGAAAAAGAAAAACGCGAAACAGGCTCATTCTTTACTCTCGGTGGCCCAAAACGGCAAAAGCCAACTCGGCCCCGCTGTCCGTGCGCGCACAGGCCGTACCCAGGCCGCAACCTAGGCCTGGGCCGGCAAAGTGCCGCGCCCCGAGCACCCGCCTGGGCCGCAACGCTGGCCCATTCGATCTCGGCCATCCGTCCAGATCCGACGACCGAGCGGGCATTTCGCACGAATAAAAACCTCGACGCCGCGCTGGTGCCTGAAACCCTAGTTCATTTCCTTCCTTTGCTCTCTCTCTCTTCTTCGCCGCTCTCTCCTCTCTCTACATCTCTTCTCAGTGCAACAGCGACCGAGAGCGAGCGAAGCGAGAGCGACGACGGCGAGCGAGCGTGCGGTGGAGCGACCATGGCGCCATCGCCGGCCCCCTCGCCGGCGCGCGTGCTCCCCAACGGGTGAGCACGCCGCTGTCGAGCGGCCTGGCCGCGGTGGCCCCTTGGCCAAGCTCTTCTTCTCCCGCGCCGGCGAAGGGCAGGCTCGGCTCTTCTTCTCCCACGCCGGCGAAGGGTCATCTCGACGCACAGTGAGGTTTGTTCCTCCCCCTTTCCCTTCTTCCACGTCCCCTTCTCTCTTCTGGGATTAACCCGTGGTGGGGTTGGGGTCAAAATTAGGGTTAGGGTTTCGCTTTTCCATTCGATTCGGCCGATTCAGCTTTCTCTCCTTTTGATTTCTTTTCTTTTTCGTTCATCCGAAATCGAGATCTAGGGTTAGGGTTCGTGAGCCGACCCCTGTTCTGTTCTCTTCTTTTGAATTTCCTTTCCTTTCTTTTCCCTTGTTTACCCGAAAAGGGTATCTAGGGTTAGGGTTCAGTTGAACCCGATTCAAGATTTGCGAGATTATCCCCTTCCCCTTTTAGGGTTAGGGTTAGAGTTCTTGAGATTTCTTCTCTTTTCAGATTCGAAAGGAAGTCTTCGGTTCTATTCACTTGCCGTGTGCCGTCGAACGGTGCGGCATCTTTTCCCCCGCTCGGTGGCGGTGGTGACCGGTAGACAGTGACGTCCGCCACCCCGGTCTATCTTTTTTCTTTTACCCGATTAGGGTTAGAGTTGCACAGAGACAACCTAGCTCTGGTACCATTGTTAGAATCAATTGTGTGTACCTCTCTGTGACCGTAACCCGTAGATCCGGGGAAGACCCTTCTCGCCTTTCACTGTTGCGGCACAGCAGCAGCGTAGACGCCGGTGTAGGAGCAGCTCCGGCTCGGTGGCGAGACGGCGGTCCGGTGGTGACCCTGCAGTGGTGCGACGGCGGTGGTGGGGCACATCCCGCCGCTGGCAGCACGGCCTTTAGATCAGATTAAGGTTACCTTTAGGTGGGTGTGGCGGCTCCGGTCAACCTCGTTGGGCGAGTCCTGATCCCCACCTTACCTTTTATATGTGATGTGCGACAGGGGCCCACCAACCGTATTGGGGTTAGGCTCCCCCGATTAGGGAGCAGAGACAAGGGTCCAATAGGCCGTTGGACCTATTGGTGGAGATCAACTAACAAGTACATATAGACAAGATGCAAGTCTCTTTCACTCTAGTGCGATTCCATTTCTGTTCCCTTCGAAGTTGCTATATATAAATCAGTCACTCCGTGGAGTCAAGTGACCCAAACACGCACAACAAGTGGCTAGTTAGAGTTACTTAAGTTCACAAATATGATCTTCCCCCCAGTCTTCCTAGTTTCCACAAGCTGGAATAGCAACCAGAAGGTAATTTATGTATGGCACCACTATTATGTAGATACATATAGTTCCCGTTGCTGATATATATCGTAGACGAACTAAATCATTTATATCTTGGAATATACTATATAAATCGTTCTCTTGATTCATGTTTCATTATCTTAAATTTTTTTGCAGCTGCAGCAGGCAACTACTACTAGTAACATTAATATTCCTTCAGCATCAGCTGTTGTTGCTGGTGAAGGCAATCTTCTCCAGTATAGACAAGCCATGGCCGCAGAAGCGCTTTACGAAGGAGGTGGAAGCCGCGATGGTAGCGCCCCAGCAGCGCAAGCCAACGCCCAACCGAGGTCCATGTCTGAGCGCTCCAAGCTGCTGAGGATCCCAAAGCCAGAGCCAGGGCTCAGGTGCCCGCGCTGTGACTCCACCAGCACCAAGTTTTGCTACTTCAACAACTACTCCTTCGCGCAACCGCGCCACTTCTGCCGTAACTGCCATCGCTACTGGACGCGCGGCGGCGCCTCCTCCGCGACATCCCCGTCGGCGCTCCGTACAGACGCCGCCGAGCCAAGGGCAGCAAGCCCACTGCTGCAGCCACTGCTGCATCGGCATCATTAGCAGCACTGGTGATGACTTCGTCGTGCACCACAAATGTCGTCCCGCTCGCGCCCACTCCACAACAAGCTACGGCGAGCAGCAGCGCGTCGCCGCTCCTGCCACAGTTGTACGGGCTCGCCAGCATGGACACCCCGAATGTTGGCTCGAAATTTTCATGGCCCGGGGCTGCTAATCTGTTGGTGGACTCGGCCGGTGGGAGGGCTGTATCGGAGTCGAAGATGGAGCAGCTGTGGGGAACGCTATCGCAGTCTTCGCAGATGCACAGGCTCCCAGTATTCTCGCACGCTATTGATCAGCAGCAGGGAAGGCCAGTTGCTGTGCCGGTGACAATGACGACGCCGCCAAGCATGTTCCACCCAGGGTTATGGAGTGGAGGCGACGGAGACATCTACAGTGATGCGAAAGTCAGTTCCATATGATCAAGAATCGAGATGAGGAGTGCCCAATTTGGGCCATGCAAGCTGATGTGAATGGTTACACTACTTCCTATGATCCTATCCCAGTTATAGCGCAGGTAATTAACCTCTACTCTGTTGCAAAGAACTTGAATCGAAAAAAGCCATCGCAAAGCGCCTTTAAATTTCAAGACGTTACTCCCTCCGTCCCAAAACGAACGATTACGCTTCTCGTGGAGTCAAACTCTGATTTTGACTAGTTATATAGAAAATGGTATCAATATTTTTATCTCTAAATTAGTTAATTAAGGCATGTACAATGTGTCTGTATACCCCATCTGTGTCTTGCAACTTTTACAAAAATAACCCTGCTCCACTGTATTCAATGAGGAGAGAAGCTCTCCTTTTCGCCTCGCGAGGCGACCATGAGCGCACGTGCTCCGAGACTTCTTCGCGGTTGGAGGCGCGTTGTATAGGCCCGACTACTCGAGTCAACGAGCACGCCGATTCAGTGCGGTGCGCGCTGCGAGGAAGTTAAGGCGCTACACGAAATGGATTTTTCACACCAAATCCACCACTGTTAGCATATCATCATAACTTCTCCCCGGCTGTCTTCCCTACCCACGAGATGGAGGACATCGGTGCATCTGCGGATTTGGGGCGGAATAGCCCGAGCACAGCGGTGGCGGGGCAGCAGGGCAAGGTCATGGCAGCTGCAGCGGCATCGGCTTCCTTCAATCGCCGTGGATCCGGCTCAGCAGCGGCCCTCTTACCCGTTGGCCGCGGATCCAGATCGTCAGCAGCCATTTTCCCCGTTGGCCGCGGTCCAACTCGTCGTCGGCTGTCTTCCCCTTTTGGCGCTTCAACATCGCGGCGGCGACATCGGCTTCTTTGATGGCTGCATCTTGCGCGGCTGTGTGTTGGGACCCAGCGTCATCGGCTTATTCCATGGCTCCATTCCTCCCATCGTCTCCTTCATTTGGGCAACGAGCAAGTTGTAAAATGTAATATGCTGCTCCCCTTCTTTCCCGTGCACGCATAGCAGGGTGGTGGCCTTTGGTCAGCCCTGCTTTCCAATCACTGCTCGTGTAGCAGCATGGCAGTAGGCCATGTCATGTAATGGCAGGTACATGTAGTTGGTGTACCTTTGTAGTAGGAGTAAGTAGGAGTTGGTGTACTCGCCATAGTCCCTTGTACCCAAAGGGTACAACTAAAGTTGTATATATACTCATGACATAGCAATAGAAATCTTGAGTTCAGCAAGCCACACTTGAAGCAGAGTTCGGCCAACGCTGGTGCTTGCGCTGTGTGTGTACTCTGAGCTCACCCCCTTCTTCAACCTCTTGCCGACCAGTGTGAGTGTGTACTGGTGAGCTGATTGCTCACCTATGCAGGGAATTCTCGGGCCAACAAGTGGTATCAGAGCCGTGGTGGGTGATCGCCGGCGACGATAGAGGGCGACGGTAGTCAGGGCGGTGGCGAGAAGTTGCCACGGTAGTCCCAGTCGCCGGGGCATCGCGAGATGGTCATCCAGAGTTCCTTGCGGAATGTTGGCAGAGACAACAGGCCGGTTCTTACTCGCACCAACTATGGCGAGTGGTCGTTGACCATGAAGGTCAAGCTCAGAGCCCGACGACTCTGGAAGGCGGTTGACTAGGGCACCTAGGATGAAGAGAAGGAATGCTCGGCGCTGGAGGCAATCCTGGCCGCCGTGCCTCCGGAGTACCGGTCAGGAACCATTCGGGTCAAAGGACTCCGCGAAGGAAGCTTGGGACACCTCAAGGCCATGCAAGTCGGGTTAGATCGCGCGAAGAAGGCGAAGGCGTAGCAGCTACGGTGGGAGTACGACGACCTGGTGTTCCGCGACGGGGATGCGGTGGAGGACTTTGCCCTCCAGCTACAATCCATCATTAGCCAGTTGGCAGCGCACGGCGTCATCATCGATGACGAAGAGGCAGTCTCCAAGTACCTGTGCGTCATGCCACCCAAATACACCAAGATCCCTCTCTCCATCGAGACGATGCTGGACATGTCAACCCTCATGATTGAGGATTTGACAAGGCGTCTGCGCACGGTGGACGACCGCACAGGGGCGACTGCAACATCGGACGGCATCAAGTTGCTACTGACCGAGGAGGAGTGGACTGCCCGGATGTGGTAGAAGCGATCTGGGGAAGGCTCCTCCTGCCACGACAACGGCGGGAAGCGCTGTGGCAAGGCCCCACAGCAGCAGAAGAAGAAGAAGGATGGCGAACCCCTGGGCAGGGACATTTGCCGCCGCTATGGGAAGACTGGCCACTAGGACAAGGAGTGCCCGAACCCAAAGAAGGAGAAAAGGTTGAGGCTCACCTGGCGTAGGTGGACGACGATGAGCCAACTCTCCTGATGACAACGTTCTGTGCGCTGCACGACATCGAGGCAGAGGAGAAATTAGAGGAGGTGGTGGTTGCGAAGCACGGGGAGGCATCGCAGAGCATTGACCTCGACGAGCCACACGCCCAAGTCCATCTCGGACGAGTGGGTGGCGAGGTGGAGCAGAGGTGGTACCTGGACTTCGGCGCCAGCAACCACATGACCGGCTCCAAGGCGGATTCCATCGAGCTCAACGACGGTGTGACTGGGTAGGTGAAGTTTGGGGATGGCTCGAAGGTGAAGATTCGAGGCTGTGGCACCATCATTTTTTGGTGTCAGAACGGCGAGCACTGCGCGATAACGGATGTATTCTACATCTTGTAGCTGCGCTCGAGCATCATTTGCATCGGTCAGCTGGATGAACGCGGGTACGAGGTGCTGATCGAGAGCGGGATCTTGAGGATTCGCGATGGGGAGTGGCATCTTCTCACCAAGGTAAAATGCTCCCATAATCGACTATACCAACTTGATTTGAAGATGGTCCGAGTGCTGTCCCACATCGAGCACGTAGGGGAGCTATGTGACAGCTGCCTAGCTAGGAAGCAGAGGAGGCTGCCGTTCCCAAAGGCGGCCAAGTATCGCGTGGCGGACGCCCTCGAGCTCATCCATGGCGACCTCTGTGGGCCAATCACGCCGTCCACGCACGGCGGGCAGTGGTATTTCCTTTTGATCGTGGAGGATTGTAGTTGCTACATGTAGCTGCAACTCCTGACGAGCAACGATGAGGTGGCGGATGCGATCAAGAGGTTCCAGGCCCGGGCGGAGGTAGAGTCTGAGAAGAAGTTGTGCGTACTGAGGATAGATCGCGGCGGAGAAATCACTTTGGTGGAGTTCGCTGCGTACTGTGTGGATCAGGGTGTGGTGCGACACCACACCATGTCGTACTCGTCGAAGAAAAAGGCATGGTGGAACGGTGGAACCAGACGGTACTTGGCATGGCTCAATCAATGATGAAGGCCAAGAGCATGCCTACAGAGTTCTGGGGTGAGGCGGTGACCATGGCAGTGTTCATCCTCAACCACACGCCCACGAAGTCCCTAAAGGGCGTGACGCCATTCGAAGCATGGTACAGGCGTAAGCCGGACGTGTCCTTGCTTAGGACGTTCAACTGCATTGGCCATGTCAAGAAGATGAAGCTGTTCCTCTCCAAGCTGGAGGACAGGAGCACGCCAATGGTGCTCCTGGGCTACAAGGAGGGCACCAAGGCGTATCGGCACTACAATCGCATGGAGGCAACATGGTTGTCTCGCACGACATCGTGTTCGATGAGAAGGTGGCCTGGGACTGGGAGGGTCTAGGCATGGGGGAAGCTGGCGGCTTTAGCAGCACCTTCGTCATTGAGCACTTAGTCTTCTACGGTAGTGGAGACACTAGAGAGGAGGTGCCGACCACTCCAGCACTGGATCCGACCACTCTAGGAGTGGAGCTGAGCGGTCCTACAGTGATGCCAACCACTCCAGGAGTGGTGACGAGCGGTCCAGCAGTGGTGCCGAGCGCTCCAGCAGTTGTGCCGACCACTCTAATAGTGGTGCTGAGCACTCCAGCAGCAGTGCCGACCACTCCGACAGAACAGGGGACTCCTTCATCGCCACCGATCGAGTTCACGTCTGCTCCAAGCTACATCAGCGAGTTCGTGGATGCCTTCCACGATGGCGAGTAGGTGTAATTCTGTAGAATGGACAATATCATCAGCAATGCAGGGGCCTCAGGCCTGGCGACTCGGCTGCTCGATGATCCAGAGCTACTTCTCGTCGGTGCAGAGGAGCCGCCCACGTTCGCGCTAGCTGAACGCGACTCCAATTGGCGATAGGCGATGCTAGAGGAGATGAAGGCGATCGAGGAGAATGAGACTTGGGAGCTCATCGATCCGCCTCTAGCATGCCGTCCGCTTAGACTGAAGTGGGTATACAAGGTGAAGCAGGACGAGCGCGGCTCTATCATCAAGAACAAGGCATGCCTCATTGCCCGTGGCTTCATCCAACGCAAAGGCATCGACTTCGAGGAAGTCTTTGCCCTGGTGGCACACATAGAGTCCGTCCGACTACTGCTAGCTCTGGTAGTGGCAAAGGACTAGCGCGTTCATCACTTGGACGTCAAATCAGCCTTCCTCAATGGTGAGCTGGCGAAGACGGTCTTCGTCAAGTAAGCTCCGGGCTTCGCCGTAAAGGGAGCAGAGCACAAGGTGCTCTGATTGTGCAAGGTGCTCAACGAGCTACGGCAGGCCCCACAGGCGTGGAACGCTAAGCTTGATGCCACGCTGGGTACGCTTGGGTTCACACGCTGTGCAATAGTGCACGCGCTCTACACGCGGCGACGGGGGAAGGAGGAACTCGTCGTTAGCATGTATGTGGTCGACTTGATCATCACCGGCGTGTGTGTAGAGGACATCGATGGCTTCAAGCGCGAGATGGCGGCTCATTTTTTAATGAGCGATCTCGGCGCACTCTCCTACTACCTTAGCATTGAGGTGAAACAAGGGAAGGAGGCTCTCACGCTCGGTTAGAGCGCGTATGTGGTGAAGTTGTTAGAGCGGAGTGGCATGGCTGATTGCAAGCCTTGCATGACTCTGATGGAGGAGCGGCTGAAGCTGTCAAAGGCTAGCACCACAGCAA